GAAATGGATGCACCCAAGAAGGAAAAAAGTATGGCTCTCAGAATAGCTGAAGGTTCATATCTGGAGGATGATGAAATGGCCATGATCACAAGAGATTTCAAAAAGTACCTGATCTGAGGAAAGGGTTCTTCAAGAGGTACAACCTTCAACAAACCAAGTGTTCCTGAGAAACAGACCAACGAGGGTTGCTACAAATGTGGTAAGACAGACCACATGATCAAGAACTGTCCTCAATGGGAAATTGAGTGGAAGAAGGAAAGGGTAGAACAAAGGAACAAGAAGAAGGAACATGTTCAACCAAAAAGGAACAAAGGATCAACAAATGCTATGGTTGCTGCTTGGGGAGAAACATCACATGAGGACTCAGAAGATGAAGCTGGAGATGAACAAGCACTTATGGCCATCGGAGAATCAGATGATGAACAAGAGGTAAGTATCCTTCATCTCAAAGACAAAATTAAATTCCTGTCTAAAGAAAGGTTGTCTGAGCTATTGTTAGACTTCATTGATGAGTTTGAGATAATTAACAATGAGAAGGAAGATCTGTCTAGGGAATGTGTGATCCTAATAGCCAAGTGCAAAAATCTAGAGTCTAGGGCTAATAAGAGTGATAGGAAAAATGCTGAGTTGAAGAACCAGGTTCTTGAACTTGACACTAGTATCCTAGAACTTACGTCTAAGAACTTAAAACTGAAACTAGGAACAGGTAAGAAGAAATCTATCCACAAACATCTCACCCTAGAAGAAAACATAGGAAAAATGAAGGATGAGTTGTACAGGAAGGATGAGCAGATAAAAGTCTTTAAAGAAGATCTAGGGAAGGTAAAACATGAACTAGACAGAACTTGCAAATGGAACAAGACTTCTGATGCACTTTCCTGGCTACAAGAGCATCACAATAGCAACAAAAGAGGACTTGGCTATGAGACTCAAGCACCTAGTGGGATCCTAAAAGCAAGTACCTCACTCTCCCTGAGAACAAAATCTGCACACACTGTGACAAAATTGGCCATTACAAAAATGAATGTAATGCAAAAGAAAAGGCCAATCAAAAGAACAAAGCTTTTATTCAATATAAAAATAGGTTGCCTGGGTGGCCTAAAAGGAATTTGATTTATCCCTTTGCCTATAGAAAGAGACCCAAACTAGTTTGGGTTCCTAAGACTAACCCTTGATTTCTTTTTGCAGGTCCAAGTGAAGGGAAATAGCCAAATATGGTACATGGATAGTGGCTGCTCAAAACATATGACTGTAAGTAAGAACTAGTTTCTTTCACTTGAGGACTTAAATGGAGGTAATGTCTCCTTTGGAAATGAGAAGAAAGGTGAGATTATTGGGGTTGGAAAGGTATGTAAGACAGACTCTCACTCCATTGAGAATGTCTACTTAATAGATGGCTTGAAATACAGCTTGAACAGTATGTCACAACTGTGTGACAGAGGTAACCTTGTAGCATTCACCTCTACTAAATGCTTTGTAATTAACCTTACCACTGACAAGATTATTTTGCAGGGAAAAAGAGTTAACAATATTTACATTGTAGATTTGTCTACTCTTTCAGAAAATGAACTCACCTACCTAAGTGTTGGATAATGATCCCCTCTTGTGACACAAAAGACTTGGTCACGCTAGTCTGAATCAGCTAAACAAATTAGTCTCTAAGGACTTGGTGATAGGGTTACCTAACATCAAGTTTAAGGAAGACAAAGTTTGTGAGACCTGTGCAAGGGGGAAACAGGTAAGATCATCCTTCAAAAGTAATAAAATGGTAAGCATAACCAAGACATTGGAACTGGTCCATATGGATCTCTGTGGTACAATGAGAACCATGAGCAGAGGTGGAAAGAAATATTTAATGGTACTTGTTGATAATTATTCTAGATTTACCTGGGTACTATTTTTAACATCTAAAGATGAAGCATTTGACATGTTTGCTGCTTTTGTTAGAAAAACTCAGAAACAACTAGGTAATCAACTTGCATCCATTAGGTCTGATCATGGAACTGAATTTGAAAATGCTAAGTTTGTTGAATTCTGTGATGAGCATGGTATAGATCATAACTTCTCTGCCCCTAGGACTCCTCAAAAAAATGGAGTTGTTGAAAGAAAGAACAGGGACTCTTGAAGACATGTCTAGGAATATGCTTCTTTCTAGTAAACTGCCCCACAGCTTCTGGGCAGAGGCTGTAAACACTGCATGTTACATTATCAATAGATGCATGACTAGACCTCTTGTAGAGAAGACTCCCTATGAGTTACTTAAAGGGAGAAAACCAAATATATCCTATCTTAGGGCATTTGAATGTAAGTGCTTTGTGCACAATAATGGTAAAAACTCCCTAGGTAAGTTTGATCCTAGAAGTGATGAGGGAGTATTCTTAGGATATTTTTCACATAGCAAAGCATATAAAGTGTTCAATAAAAGAACTTTGTATGTAGAAGAAAGTATGTGTGTAGTGTTTGATGAAACTAACATTCTTTCTGAGAGACAGAAACATGAAGATAAAGCCATTGGATTGGTAAAGGATTTGACTGAAGTCTCAGTACAAGTTAAAGTGGCACCAAAAGAAGGAACAAGTGATGGAACAGGTCCTTCTATTCAGGGGCAACCTGACATGGGGAACTGATCAAAGAGGAATTGAAACAAATCCCCTAAAAGAACTTGTTCATGACCCAGTTCCTCAACAACAGAACATGGGAGAAACATCTAGCAGACACGGTTGTGAAACCTCACAAGTAGCAAAGTTCTCATCATATTGAGAACATAATCACTGATCCAACATATGGAGTCAAAACTATATCACAATTAAATAATCTGTGTGCTTTTGATGCTTTCTTATCTCTTATTGAAACTAAAAATGTTGTTGAGACTTTGCAGGATGCAGATTAGGTGAATGCAATACAAGATGAACTCAATCAGTTCGAGAGAAGTCAAGGCTGGCATCTAGTTCCAAGACCCAATGACAAATTAGTTATTGGTACAAAATGGGTCTTCAGAAACAAACTTGATGAAGATGAAACAGTTACAAGAAACAAGGCAAGACTTGTGGTCCAAGGTTACAGCCAAGAGGAGGGTATAGATTATGATGAGACTTTTGCTCCAGTTGCAAGACTAGAGGCAGTAAGACTCCTCATAACCTTTTCTGCACACATGGAATTCACTCTCTATCAGATGGATGTCAAAAGTGCCTTCCTGAATGGCTACTTGAAAGAAGAAGTGTTTGTGAAACAACCTCCAGGGTTTGAGAGCAAGGAATGTCCTGAGCATGTGTACAAATTAGACAAGGTTCTCTATTGACTCAAGTAGGCTCCTAGAGCATGGTATGAACGACTGTCCAAATTTCGGCTTGAACATGGATACAAAAGAGGTAAAATTGATAGTACCCTATTATGAAGGGAAAAAGGTAAGGATCTCCTTGTGGTACAAATATATGTTGATGACATATTCTTTGGGGCCACCACTGATAAACTAAGTAAGGATTTTGCTAACTTAATGGGGAGTGAGTTTGAAATGAGTATGATGGGCGAGCTTAACTTTTTCTTAGGCTTACAGATCAAACAAATCCCAAATGGAACCATGACTCATCAACAGAAGTATGCAAAAGAGCTGATCAAAAAGTTTAAAATGGATGAATCAAAGGAAATAGACACCCCCATTGCAACTGCCACTAAATTAGACATAGATGAACCTGGTTCATCAGTTGATCAGAAGTTGTATAGGGGTATGATTGGTTCACTCTTGTATCTTACTGCCAGCAGACCTAACATAGTTTTTAGTGTAGGGCTTTGTGCTCGCTTTTAGGCCAATCCAAAAGAGTCTCACTTGACTGATGTCAAGAGGATACTAAGATATTTGAAAGGCACCACTGATCTATGTCTTTGGTATCCTAAAGGTAGTAATTTAAATCTAGTAGAATATGCTGATTATGCAGGTTTCCTTGTGGATAGGAAAAGCACCTCAGGTATGACTCACTTTCTTGGCTCTTGTCTTGTATCCTGGGCTACTAAAAAGCAAAATTCAGTGGCCTTATCCACTGCTGAGGTTGAATATGTTGTTGCTGCTTCTTGTTGTGCTCAATTGTTATAGATCAAACAGCAGCTGGTAGATTTTGGCATTGAAGTTGGTTGCATTCCGATATTCTGTGATAACACTAGTGCTATAAGTATGACAAAGAACCCTATTCATCATAAGAGGACTAAGCACATAAATGTTAGACACCACTTCTTAAGAGATAACTATGAGAAAGGATTGATCTCCATAGAATTTTGTGCTACTGATAAACAAATTGCTGACATCTTCACTAAAGCACTGAGTAAAGAAAACTTTGAGAGGAACAGGTTGGAATTAGGGATGATTAAGATCACTTAATAGGCCAAGCTCAGAATGCAAAATGAAAAAAAAATGAAAAAAAAATTGAAAAAAAAATTTGAACTTGTGTAATTATGTAGATTAATTCTTACTCAGCTTCATATTTTAATTAGTATACTCCTGTGACATGTGTTTATATGACTCGCTGATCTCTTACAAAATTTTCTCTATTATGGCATTTGAGGCATGTTCAAGAGACTTCTAAATGAAGAACCTAATTCATCAGTATGGGTTCATATGAAAGCTAAGGTATGTTTTCTATACTCTGCACAATTAGAAAGATTAATAATTCAATCATGAGCAGAAGTCCTACACTTGTTAAATTCCTAGAAAATTCTATCTGTTAGCATTGAACTAGTTCCGTCTACCTAGAACTCTAAACCGAAAATTTTGCCTAAAATCTAGGGAAGATAAACCGATCATTCAAAATTTGGAATTTCAGGTTGATTAGACCTCTATTTGACCACTGCAAAAGGCCGTCGTTATCTATTAAATGTGTATTTCTCTTTAAATACACATCATTTCTCCTGCCATCTTTATAATTCCAAACCGTCAAAAAATATTCTTCACTTTCACTTGACCTCTTCTCCAAAACTCTAAATTCCCAAATTCTCTCAAGAAACCAACGATCATGACTAACCCACAAGACAATCCTGGAACTCCTCCATCACCATCTCCCTCAAATTCATCCATACCTCCTTCACCCAGTACATCTCCAAAACCTAGATTGCGTAGGGTGAAAATGCTTGCTCGAAAGACTGTAGCGTCTGGGGCTCTGAGGAAGAAATTAAATGAAACGTTGAAGGGAATCCAAGACCAAAACTCCAGCTCCAGCTCTGATTCTGAATCATATCAATCCGCTATTGAGGGGGAAGCACCTAGGTCTTCTAACTCTGAAAAGACTCAAGAATCTCCATCTAAGGTAATTTATTCTGTGTCTGAGATTCTAGAATCTAGGTTTATTTTGGTTGGGTCTGTTAAGGATGTAGAAGTACCAGGGTCACAAAGGAGTGGAGGTAAAAAGAATTCTGAAAAAGAAAAAGAGAGAGAGAGAGGGTGCATGTGGTAATGAGAGGGGAAATGGGAAGGGAGCAGTTCTTGCTATCTGTGGGGTTGCACAAGAAAGGGTAGAAGAGAGTGGAATAAAGTTAGGGGGAAGTGGTTCTGGGAAAGCTGCTGAGGGGTTGGTTTATCTGAGCACATAGAGAGATGAACCTGTTTCATCTACTGAAAAGACCCTAGCAGACCTACTGAAAGAGGTTGGGGCAAGCTATGACCCAAAGAAACGCAGAACTCTCATAACAAAAGCCCCCAATGTTCCTAAACCTTCCAAGAAAATAAAGGCTTCATCCCCAACACCTACTACTTCTTCACTGCCAAGGGATAGAGCCACAAGAAATAGGGTGAAACAAAGTGAAACTGATCCACAAAGGGCTTTAAAAGAGAGTAAGAAAAAGAAAATGTATAAAGGAAAGGGAAAAATTGCAGAATCCTCAAAGGCTGTTGAGGAAGAGGAGATAGAACTGGTCCATCAAGAAAGAGGTACATCAGTGGAGGTTCTTACCCCCAAGCCTAAAAAGCCCAAGACCTCCTTCAAGAAGTCTTCCTCTGTGTCTGAGGCTGTTGAACCTACACTGGCCAAGAGGACAAGATCTGTAGTGAAAAACAAACAATCAAAAATTTCTGAAGATGATGACTAGAGTGGAGAAGAAGAAGAAAATGACTCTGAGAAGGAATAGGATAAGCTTGCCATGTTTGGCAAAAGAAAGATTTTAAAGGGTAGACTGCTGAAACACCTGGTGGAACCAGGAATGATGAGATTGGTGGATGCTTTAGCTACTCAGGGATGGAAGGACATGGTCCTTTAGATGGATGGTAGGCTAGCCAGAAATGAGCTAATTGAATTTATGGCCAATGTTGCGGTTAAGGATGGCATTGTTAGTATCCTGGTGAAAGGAGTCCAAGTGCAGTTTGATGTAAAGAAACTGGGAGAGATCCTGGACATACCCTCTGATGGGTTTGATGACTATACAAGGCAAAGGTGGACCTGCTCGGACTCCCTCCCTACTACTCTTGTAATCACCAGGAGGTTTTGTGATTCAGAAGAGGTGAATGAAGTGAAGCCAGGGCTGTGCAGAAAAGTGAAATGAGGCCTGAGCACAAGGTCTTGTTTGAATTTGTCAACAAGTGTTTATTGCCTAGACATGAGAGAAAGCACATTGCTAATTACATGTATCTAGTTCTTATGGAGTGCCTAGAGAGATGAAAACAAATCAACTGGCATGCCTTCATTATCAAGCTGCTAGACATGGTCATAAACGGCTCCAAGGCCCATGCTACTCCCTATGGCTTTATTCTAACCATAGTTCTGGACAGGCTCAATGTGCCTCTGAAGAAATGGGAAATGGCCTCGAGCAAGGATAACTTTGGCATCAATACTCTTCTCGCTTGTGACTATGCAGTCATTGCCATCCCAAATGAACTTGGTTCATCTCTGAAGGCACCCATCAACAGCAAAATTAGGACTCTGGTTCAGGAATATGCAGCCAAGGATGCTGAAATAGCTAGGCTCAAGGCTGGTCTGATGAAGTGGAAACTAAGAGGGATGGTCTCAGAACTGAGCTTGCCAAAGAAAAGGAGATGAATGATGGAATTCTTCATAACATGATGAGTCTTCTCCAAATACAAACCCAACCCTCTGGTTCCTCCAAGCCTTAGGACTCCTGAACTTGTTCAGTACCTCAGTGACCCAGATTAGGGATATTTCTATCTTTTTTTTTGCTCATTTTTTCAATATTTTTCTTTCTTTTTGTGGATTGTTTGTGGCAACATATCTCTGTCAATTATAACTATTGTTTTGCTCTTGTTCAATGATTAATTTGTCCTTGATAGTTTAAATATGTTGGCTTGATTACTGATGATTGCACCATGATTACACTTGCAGTTGCCCCAGTGGCCATGAGTACTTATTCAAATCTGGGTATCACACTTTGTATGCAACTTTTTGAAGATGCCAAAAGGGGGAAGAGACATTGTGCTTTACATATTTTGAAAATAAGTGATATTTATAACCTAATTAACCTGGTCCTTGGTGATAAATGAATGTTCTAAGTTTAGTATTGATGGTTAAGCTGAGTTATTACAGGTTCCAAATCAGTAAAAAGCACAGAATTTGTCATCATCAAAAAGGGGGAATTTGTTGGCCCAAGAATAGGTGAAGTTTTGAAGAATGACAAAAAGAACTTAGTGATGGACCAGGTCCATCTTGTGAAGCACAATCATGATCAACCTATATATGTGAGATGCACGTGAAGGAGATAAGTCCTACTGATCAAGCAACAATATCTCCTGATCTGATCGAAAAGGTTGCATATTGGATAAGGGGAGAAAGTCTCCTTATATGAAGAGAGCACAATCTAGGATAAAGATAGTGTTAGAATTTGAGATCATCATGAACTCTTCTACGATAGGAGAGCATCAATTGAGTTCCAATCAAACTCTAATTACTAACCTATTAAATGCCAGTGTTGTTCTCTTTTACAGGTAATGCACATACGTAGAAGTTAACTAAATTGAGAGCAAAAGAGCAAGGCGATTTTGCAAGCAACTTATGTGTGATTTGAGTGTGCACTCTTGAAGTTACTTGAACGAGATAGAAGAACCAGTTCCATTATGTCTATCTTTTATTCTAAGTTCAATTGTAGTAGGTGGTTTAAAGTTGTACCTTTCAGCTTTCATAGAAGCAATTGTATTAGGTACCTAGAGTGTTCGAGTTATAGCTAACTTGAAGTTGTCGCAATAGTTGAGGCTGTGTGCCACAACGGGATTAGAGTTAATCCTTAGGCTTACAAAGAGTTTTTGTAAATGATGTTTTGGCTCAGTGATTTTAGTGGAAGTTTGGGAAAATCTTATTGAGTAGCAGATCGTGGTTTTTTTTTACCTTTTGAGCCAGGTGTTTTCAACGTAAGAAATCTCTGTGTTCTTTATTTTCTGTATTTATTATTCCACAAACAGTAGTAGTTGGAACACCTAGAAGAACCAGGTTCTTCTATAGTTCAGTTAAGTGAAAATTGGGTACTACACAAATCACCCCCCTCTTGTGTAGTATTGATGCTTAAAACATCATATATGAAATGGGATAGGGTTGCACGCCTGCAATAAGAAAGAAATGAAAGTGAATATTGTGTTTGTTTTCCTCATTATTGTTGGCAATTATGTTCTGGTTTCTTTACATTCCTCTTTGGTATTTTGTTGTTATCTAATACTCCCTGTAGCGTGCTTCCCCCTCCCCATCTCTAACTGTGAATATTTGCTTTTATTTTTTGTTATATATGATTTATCTACACAGGTTTATTTGGTAGTCTGGTCCTAGCCTCCTCACTACTTCGCCGAGGGTAGGCTAGGCACTTACCAGCACATGGGGTCGGTTGTGCTGATACTCCACTCTGCACTGTGTGCAGATACTGGTACCGGAGCATTTGGACCGCAGTGAGGTTGCTGCCTTCTGTCCAACAGGCGACCCGAGGTAGTCCTGCAGGCGTCCGCGGGCCTTGGTGTCTCCTTCTATCATCTCTTTTCTATTCTTTTACTTATTCAGAAACAGATTCGTATATTTTTGTTCAGACCTTATTTGTAGTAATCTTAGACAGTCTGTGAAATTGTGATACCAAATTCTAGGTAGAGTTGTATTTAGACTTCTACAGTTTGTATTAAGTTAAATTATCAGATTTAGTCTTCTGCTTTGTTATTGATATTATCATTTCCGCTATTTTGATATGTTGTTTTGAAATTATAAAGATTTAAGACTTGAAAAAGGGTAGTTAAAACAGAATAATTGGCTTGCCTAGCTTTCATTAGCAGGCGTCATCACGACTCCCGAGGGTGAAAAATCCAGGTCGTGATAGTTTTGGAAAATATTTTCCTTATTAATTCAGTTTTCTCCAATTAGAGGAAAATATTTTCCTTATCAAGAAAAGGGAAAANTCTCTCCAATTTTTTTTTAAATTTCAGCTTTTTTTTCCATCACCACCCACTTTACTACCCCCTCCTCCCTCCCAAAAAAAAATAATTTTTACTTTTTTTTGTGTAATTTCAAATTTTCGTTTTTCTTTACCCTCACCCTCACCCCTCTCACTATCCCATCCCCCTCCCCTCCACATAACTTTTTTTTTAATTTTAAATTTCTGTTTTTTCGTTTTTCTGCACACCCCCTCCCCCCTTCCCCGAGGATTTTTTTTAATTTTTTTTTATATATTTTCAGTTTTACTTTTTTCATATTTCGGTTCATAGGTTCAAAATTTTACAAGTTCCAAAATTATGAGTTCGGAGGTTTATGTGTTTGAAAGTTTACGGGTTTGAAATTTTATGGTTTCGAAAGTTTAGCAGTTCGGAAGTTTATAAAATTTGTGGGTTTGGAAGGTTGTTGATTCGAAAGTTTATGACTTCATGTTTATTGTATCTAAATTATATATGAATATTCTTGAGAAGTTATTTTTCTTAATTTGCGTACCAAACACCGAAAAATGAATAAGATTACTACTTGTTATCTAAGAAAATATTTTCTTGAAAAATATTTTCCGTTATACCAAACACACCCTAAATTGCCAACTTCCGCCAAATGATGCCGAAACCTTTTAGAAACATTCAAATGAAATTTCGGGTATACGTCCAAGTTCAAAATTACTATCCGGACCTACCGGAACCGTCGAAACTCCGATTCGAGGTCAAATACCCAAAAGTCAAACTTAGGGTCAATTCCTTCAACTTCAGACTTCTCAAATGAGAGTCACTCCTAAAATCCTTTCCGAACCTCTCAAAAACCCAAACCGACGATGCACGTAAGTTGTAATACTCTGTGTGAAGCTATCCATGACCTCAAACTGCCGATCTGGACGCAATTACTCAAAACGACCAGTCGGGTTGGTACAACAGGCCCTGGCGCCCCCTTTTATACCTCATACTTTACTTTTTCTTTATTTCGCAAACAACTGTATTTCTTTCGGACAAATACTTGTATTAAAATCTTAGAATGTTCGTGAATTGTAACTCCGGATTCTGGGTAGTAGTGGCATATAGTTGAAGCGGTTATATATATATAGATATAGATAGATATATATATTTCCGCGTTCATTTCGACTTGTTATAGCTTGCTTATTGTTAATCACTGAAATGTAAAAGAATTGGCTAATAAATCTCTAACATTGGTTTGCCTAGTAAGTGTAATGTTAGGCACTATCACGATCCCGACGGTGAAAATTCCGGATCGTGACACTTTGTGATATACTTGTGCTCGTTTTTTTGCTGAATTAATTCTGACCACAATAAATTATGAATTATTTTACCAGAAAAATCGTAATTACACTCCTCCATTTAATTTGAATTCGTCCGTTAAAAACCTTACGGATACCTATCAATGAGATTAAATTATTGATAATTTTTTATTTGATTAATTCATTTAGACTTGCGGTTATATTTCATATGTCGGATATAAAATTCATTTCTAAAGTTTACATATAATCTTAAAGAAGTGTCATCAACTAGACTAATTCATGAATTTCATCAGCTAATTATGATTTCACAAATGTATATAGAGGACAAACGTAATACAAGTGCAAAAGGTGTGATTAACTAACATGTACTGTTTCTTATCCTGATTATAACCTACCTATAGGAACTTGAATGTAAACAAAAGAAAAAAATG